TGCCTTTCTGTACGCTATAACTGCTCCAACTGAGCGTCGGAGTGCAATCGTTTTGGTCTTGTAATTGACGAAGGTTCGGTGGGCGTCGCGAATGCTTTTTCCAGCGTGTGCACCTTCGACCATTTCTGCTGCTCTTCGCTCTTTAAGATCTTTTATCGCTTGTCTGCATTGTTTTGCAAGTTCGGACGTTAGTTCGCAGTTGCCTGCAGCTCGTGCGATTGGGCCCTAATCGTGGGGGCTGGGTATACTCACGGGTAGCTTTCCAGGTTCTCCCAGAGTGGACATGGAGCTTATTTGTTGGAGTCGACTCCCAACCGTCTCCCATATTCTTCCTAGTCACTTGATTGCAGGCTTTCGGCCGAATTGACTCGTAGAATACAATCCGCATAAGCAAGGATGCAACCAAACACGCATCCATGAATACGCCTAGCATATACAGAAAGTGTGTGCCAAATCAGCGCAGCAGAAACAGGGAGTCCATCTCCTGGATGCACCTGCGTCTCAGGGAAGCAAAGGTCGCTTTTCGTCCACGATTAACCCACTATCTGTCACATGAGGACGCGCCACGTAGCTCGCGACGAATCGGCTCGAGGTCCCTCATATGAGGAAGATCCGTGGGACATAATGCTTAAAAGCTGAATTATTTTCGATCGGAATCACTTGAATGTTGGGTACTATTTTTTTGAGGTACGCAAATGAAGATCAGATGTGCCTCGCAGTACACATATAGTCGGTGGTTCGATCTCGCAATCGAGTCTAACCAAATCTACTATTCCTCCGGTTTCCGAAAATCAGTGCCAAACTTGTTTAATAAGATAAAAATACTAGTTTGATAAGTTGATAGTTCTGGCAAGTCATTGTTCGCGCAAAATATTCATTCAATCATCTCTACCATTCTACGAATGGAATCAAACCCATGTCACATTGTTAAAGGACTGGTCGGACTCGAATTTATCCTTTATCTTTTTATGTAATTAGTTAATCCACTAGATTTTCGGGCTAACCAACTGAATGGCGGGCGCATGTAGCGCAGTTGTTAAAGGCGCCCTGTAATACACATAGGATCAATCTAGCGCCATTGGCCCACCAAGTCTTCCATCCCTTCGAAATCGACAGATTGGTACCAAACTTCTCTGGGAGGATAGTAGCACTGACCTGACACATCGGTAGACCACCTCGAGTCATTGTAAAGGCCAGATATTCATTCAGTCACCTCTAAACGATGCTTAATGAAGTCGAATGCATGGCGCATTCCTCAGGGATTGATCAACGCCGAGAGCTTTCTAAGTTCACCCAACTAAATCGTGCATTGGGTTTGCTTCTCATTAGTGCTCACTGCTTTCGCGATAGCATTAACGCATGAACGCGCCTATAAGCACGACACTGCTTGCAATGGTGGTGTGGTTGAGTGACGGTCATAATCCTGCATTTGCTTCCAAGACTGGGTCACAGCGTTATTGGCTACTTCTTCTCACCGTGAATGATTAGGAAGTCTTCAAAAGATATTTATACTATTGTTCTTCTGGCACTTATGTATTGGTTTCAATAAGTCGTCACACGAAATGATTATTTTTCAAACCGACTTTCATTTAACCTCTGTGTGAAACATCAATGTACATCCTTTTACTGATAAGCTAACACCAAGTTGATTTTAAGAGGACGTTATCCGGCTATCGTTCCGGTGCCTTCAACCTCTTTAGACCGTAACCTGTGGTAGTGATGCAATCAGTTCGACTTTACTTATATTAACCGACTTTTCAGTTGTTTTTGTTCATTTGTTACATTACTCGTCAATTCTTCAGACTTTGTTAGTTCCTCGTTCTTATTTCCTTAGAGGCGATATGTGTTCTCATTCTTTTCATTTCTGTAGAAAACACTCATTTATTGAATGTGTCGTTTTCTTGTTCACCAATCGCGAGGTTTTTAAACAGCATACATTTACTTCCATAAAAACACAATACAATACAACGCTAGCTGACGTTTCGGCAGTATCGCCTTCTTCAGAGCCGCTTTTTCGTGACTTCCAATGAGGAAGNGATATGTGTTCTCATTCTTTTCATTTCTGTAGAAAACACTCATTTATTGAATGTGTCGTTTTCTTGTTCACCAATCGCGAGGTTTTTAAACAGCATACATTTACTTCCATAAAAACACAATACAATACAACGCTAGCTGACGTTTCGGCAGTATCGCCTTCTTCAGAGCCGCTTTTTCGTGACTTCCAATGAGGAAGGCAGTCGTCAACCACATGCGACTCTAATCAACTGTTCTAAACTTCCTCATTGGAAGTCACGAAAAAGCGGCTCTGAAGAAGGCGATACTGCCGAAACGTCAGCTAGCGTTGTATTGTATTGTGTTTTTATGGAAGTAAATGTATGCTGTTTAAAAACCTCGCGATTGCTGAACAAGAAAACGACACATTCATATTCCAATGCCGAGGTTAAGAGAAAGTCGATCCTGGGAACTCATTTATTGCTTCAAATTCGTAATTCCCTTTTTTGGACGTCTAGAAGCTCTGAGCTGAAACTTAAAGTGTTATTGGTTTATAAAAGCAAGGAACAATAACCACAATGATGCTGAGATATTTGCAAAACTCCGAACTTGAGGTGTCTGCAGTGCAGATCGATTGCACTATAACCCTTTCCATAGTCTAACGTGTCTACCACACCATTCAAGTCCGTCGTTTCGCCTTTCTGTCAACCAGTTTTCTATTTAACAGTCCATCAGCAATCACCCGTCAAAGGGATTGAGATAGAAAACTGGCTACGAGAAAGGTGAGACAAAGGACCGGCATTGTGTTGTGGTGAATACGTTAGCCCTTGGAAATGTTAATACTGTGTTCGATCCTCACCCGCAGATACCTGCGGCGCAGAGTTTTGCAAATTTTTCAGTATCATTGTTATTGTATTTCACACAATATCTTGCTGTGAAAATTGTGATAGGCAGTAAATAAAAGGTTAACAAAGATCAATAATTCCTCGGCATAACGATCGTCGGTGGAGAAGTGCCAGAAATCATCAAAAACCGGAACTATCGTCCATAAAAGATCAGTTTGTACCCTTCAGAAGGTGGGTTCTTCTTCTTTCAAGGCGTAAAAGGGATGTGGATGGTGTAGTGACAGTGATGCTGTTCAATACGAGCAAGGTCCAGAGTAGACCTCGGCAAGGACTAACCAAGCATCTCCATCCTTTCGCAGACGGAGATGCAACCTGACTTTTATGCTTTTAGTTCGTTTCCTCCAATTAAAAAAGTTGACGATTGTGTTTGACAAAATTCACCAACCAAAAATCGTTGAGCCTCAGGTGAACACACGCCGTTTGAAGTCTCTCATGAATGGTGGATATAAGGAAAAGACTCGGTTACAAGTGTTGTTATTTGCGCAGCACGTGACACAGAGCCGTGCAAAATGAAAAAGATAGATGGAAAATCAACTGCTTTTAGATACACGTGCTTCTTTTTAAAGTAGACATCGTCGACAGACAGGCGCGGTTAACACAGTAGTTAGTGTCGGTTTGCGATGCACACAAAGTCGTTGGTTCGATCTATCGTCCAAGGGAAATCAAGTTGTCCATCCCTCAGGGGTTGGCAATTCCGGATCAGGCTAATCTCGTAGGATTGAAGTACTGATCTGATACATCGGAAGTACACTGCAAATCGCTGTTCAAGCCAAATATGCATTCTACAAATTATGCGATGCTACGAATGAAAAGGTGGCGCGTGTGGCGCAGCAGGGGCGCCGTGCATGTAATGAAGAAAGGGAGAGTTAGTTGTGCGAAGACGACGTGCGAGTCTTCTTGAGTTGGAGAGGCAACGTGCAGTTGAGTTTACCGTGCGGGTATTTTAGACGTTGTAGTGATCGACCAGCCTCAGAAGTGGGTAATTAAACCTCTATACACACAAATGCAACATTTATAACACAACAGTAACGATAAAAAAGTATTGGCATAAGAATCAGGCAAGCTGAAATTATGAGGTGCTATGGCTAATATTGAAGTGAGACGAGACAATGGCATTAGAACATTATTACATCACTAATACAATAATAATAGCAATAATAACAACATAAAAGTTGCGGCTTGTTAGCTTTGGGCGGTGTCGCGCACGCGCTATCCGCCACCGGTGCGGCAACTGAGGGAGACAATATGCCGAGGGCGGAGAGGTATGCAGACGGGCCATGTATTCGGCTGAGCTGACGATCATCATTGTAGCGGTGCGGTTTACTTTAGAATGATCGATGACAGTAAGTTGCATGAGCATCGATGGTGCTATGGGCAACGATTGATGAGTCATCTACAGAACGCAATCAGGCGGCTGGTCGTGGATAACGAACGATACGTCTGCAGCGTGAAGTTTGAGCATCGATGGGTGCCACCGCTGCCTAAGAGATATTATGGGCCAGAAAGATAACGACTAAGAAATGACAAGCCTGGTATAGCGGCTTAACAAACAGACAGCATAAGTTGGCCGGTCAGCGCTTTTGTACGCATGACGTACGTTGTGGGAGAAATGGTACATGCAACGGATGACGTTGGAAGCAGAACACATGGAAACACCCGCCGTTACTGCTAGCGCACCGTAGACTATCTAAGAAACGAGATACATTAATCTGCGGATGACTGAGAATGAATGATAATGAGTAAGAATGGCTAAGAATTACTGAGGGATGACTGAGGATGATGTTGTCAGAAGCGGATTATGCTTATATAGGATGCGGGAGCCGCGTGCGTATGCAACCGCGGCCGATCTGGATTGTTGATCCTGGGCTGCTATGGACTGTACCTAACTGCTTGAAACGTCAAACATTATTGGCTTCTTAACCGTTTTATTTACTGCCTACTCTTTTTAATGGCGGGGTATATTGCGAAATATAACTTCAATGATGCTGAGATATTTGCAAAACTCCGGACCGCAGGTGTATGCGGTGGGGAAGGAACGCGCTATTGTCCTTTCCGGGGAGTAACGCATTCGCCATTCGTTTCTTTCTCTCGCCATCGTAATCCATGGTGGTGGTCTTGTTCGAGCATGGTATCGCGTGCGAATCTCGTACCGTGACCTGTAAAACAACAGCAGCTGCGGATACAGGTAATTAACTTTGTTTACGAGCACGTCCACCCAACGTGTAGGTGGTCGCCTTAGGGGACGTTTGCATTCTCTTGGAGTCCACTCTGCTGTTCTTTTCGTCCATCTGTCATCTGTTCTTCTCATTATGTCACCCGCCTATCTGTGTTTCGCTATCGATGTATATTCTCCTGGATCTCAAAGATGTGACAGATTTCGAAGGTCAGAGCTATGCATTCAGGCCAGATATTGATAGTGCCGGTTATATTTCAGAAGACATCGCTCTGTGAGTAGTGCAAAGTATTCTTGACGTGGTTGAAGTATCATTCCACGTCTCTGCAGCATAAGAGAGCTCTGGGAGGACCGTAGAATCGAAGAGATGAGGGCAGATTTTCGGGTCCTTCAGTTGGTCGGTGGCATCTTTCAGAGGCCCGAATGCGGCCCAAGCTATTCTCCTTCTTCTGTCAAGTCCCTCCTTCATGTTGTTTTCCATATTCATTGATCAGCCAAGGTATACGTACAAGGTGGTCTCTGCAATCAAAAGGCCACCCAGTTCATTTTCACCAAGGGCTTTTGCTGAACTGGGTCTTCTTTCGATCTATACGTGTCTCATCTTTTTTCCCGCTTCGTTGAGCTATGGAGACCGCTTCGGTCTCCTTTCTTGGGCAGGATAACCGTTCGCGACGTCTCCACTGGTCTGGGATTTCCTCCTTTTGAGGGTAGCCTGTCATATGATTTGCGAGAAGTACGTATAAATTCCCAAGACCGACTTTCTGTTAACCTCGGCATTAATTGATAATTCAATGTTTTTCATCAATAAGCAGACACGAGGTTGTTAATATAGAATTTATAAGAACACAATTGCTGACGTTTCGGCGGTTTCGCCTTCTTCAGAGCCTGGAAAGGTCAAATTGAGATGTGATCTACACAGCCAAACACTTTCACAACCCTAGCAGATAAAACTTGACAATTCGATTTGCATTCGCATAAGAAACAGCTTCATTCAAACACCTACCGTTTATTTGTTGTAAGTATTTAAGTTAGTTGGTGGACGCAGCAGGTTTAAAACCAGCAGACATTTCGCATCTAAAGATCGAAGTGCCGACATGTCGCGTCCTATACTTACTTATCAAGACCCATAAGTTAATACGCGCTGATGATCTGGCGTCTACCGACCCCTCCACTTTTAAACTGAGACCCATCATCAGTTGTGTAGACGGGCCTACAGATAGAATTGCTTGGTTTATAAACCTAATCCTCAACCAGTTGCTTAGGCACATACCAGCCCATCTAACGAACACCCAAATGTTCCTAGACCGTCTGCGTAACGCACGTCCCAAAAGCGCGTACGTTATGGAGTCGTTCGACGTTACCGCTCTTTACACTAACGTGTCGAACGACTCCGCAATGCAAGCCATCCGTGAGCTTCTTGAGAAACACGAAGGAGCAATTAACATGTATGGCTTTTCGATTCAGCAGCTTATGGTCCTCCTGAAGGTCTGTTTAAACTGCTCGATCTTCAGATGGTCCGGGAAATATTACGCGCAAATTAGAGGGTTGGCAATGGGACAGCGACTAGCACCAACCCTTGCCGTTGCCTTTATGTCTAAAGTGGAAGCACCAGTAATCGATCTCACGCCATTACTCTACTGTAGGTATATAGATGATTGTTTTGTCATCTGCTCCACACAAGAGGAGATGGACAAATGCTTTAAGTTATTGAATGAACAGTCAGAGTACATAAAATTCACCCGTGAGAAACCGAAAGAAAACTGGCTTCCTTTTCTAAACCTTCAAATTAACCTATCCGAGAACGGCTACAACACAAAATGGTATCGAAAGCCAAGCAGTAAGAACATAGTGGTTCACTACCGCTCCTCTCACCCCTCACACACTAAAAGAGCGCTTATAAGAAATATGTTTCGAACCGCCGCTAGCGTGTGCACAGGTAGAGAGCAGAGGGAAGAATCCTCGAAACTGGCGCGGCAAATAGCCATTTCAAATGGTTACGAAACTGTAGCTTCTCAGGATAGGCACCGAGGAAATCCCACGCCCCAGAGCGATAATTCTAGCGAAAACAAGGCTCCGTTCCTGTTGCCCTTTATTTCAAACGAAATAAGTGCAGCTATAAAACGCTGCTTAATAAGGGCCGGTCTAGAGAATTCCGTAAGAGTGATAGAAATACCACCGGACACTCTAAGACGCCAGCTAGTTCGCAACCGCCTGTACGACCGTCTATGTACAACAAAAAACTGCATAATTTGCCCAAATGGTAGAGACGGTGATTGCATGAGTTCGGGTACAGTCTATCTGATCTCTTGTAAAGCGTGCGGGCACGAATACATTGGCGAAACGGGTAGACCGCTCTGCGTCCGCATAAAAGAACACCTAGTCGGTAAATCTAAACTAAAACAAAATACTCCACTAGGCGCGCATAGGATGCAAGAACACAACGGAGAAGATTTTGAAGTAGGAGTCCCTATCCTTACGCAGGAATCAAAAACATCAGCGCGGCCAAAAATTCAAAAATGAACCGCAAGGAGGAGTGACTTGTCATCACGCGTGACCTGGCGCCATACCTCAGGCTGATCCAATGACCTGACATGGACACAGTTATCGACCATGTATTACTCTGTGCGGCTATCCACCAACTAACTTAAATACTTACAACAAATAAACGGTAGGTGTTTGAATGAAGCTGTTTCTTATGCGAATGCAAATCGAATTGTCAAGTTTTATCTGCTAGGGTTGTGAAAGTGTTTGGCTGAGTAGATCACATCTCAATTTGACCTTTCCAGGCTCTGAAGAAGGCGAAACCGCCGAAACGTCAGCAATTGTGTTCTAATAAATTCTATATTAACAACCTCGTGTCTGCTTATTGATGAAAAACATTGAATTACGTATAAATTGTTTCTTCCAGCTCTAAGGAAATCGGCGGTAATATTATCGGGTCCTGGAGCTGTGCTTTTTTAATGTTTTCTATCGTAACTCGAGCCTCCGAAGGAAGAATCCCAGGTGGTTTTTCTCCAGCGGAGATATTAGTGACCGGGACGGCTATTGTAGAACGGAAAAGGTTGGTGTAGAACGTTTCCTTTACTAATTCCACATCATGGTGGGATTTTTTGACGATCCCATTTTGTTCATCAGGGCTGACAGCGGAACATTATACTCAGACAAGTCTCGACGGCATCTTTTCAGACTGCTTTTCTCTGCTGCTTCTAGTAGTTTCCTCTGCCTGTACCGATGTAAGTCTTCTTACAAAGCTCTTCTCCATCTGGCATTTATTATTAGCCATGTTAATAGTATTGCAGTAGGATCAAGCTTTAGTTTCCTTCTCTTTTCGAGCAACTCCTTAGTAGTGATGAAGATGCGATCCGATCTTCTTGCTTGAGGAACTGAGGTGAATTCGGCACAGCTTTTCAGTCCTTCGACAAGCAGCTCGTAGTCTTTGATCAGGTCTTCTTTAATCTGCCAATCACGTTTGGACAGGTCTTCGTTCAAAATGTTCTCGTCGTATACAGCTAAACTTTCCCCTCGTAGTCGATGAAGAGAGTTCTTTTCCAACTTGCGGCTGAATCGAATCTTTGCGCGAAGAAGGCGGTGATCGGAGCCAATACAAAATGACCAGACTACCGATGTGTCAAGTTGGCACCATCTTCTGTTTGTCAGGATATGGTCGATCTCCGCATGAGTCATGCCGGTGGGAAACTTCCTTGTCCAGCGGCGGGTTTCTTCTGGAAAAACGAGTTTCCATGGAAGAGAGGTGCAGCGGACAGGAGTTCTGCGAGACGGTTCCCATTCTCGTTTCCTTCTCCTAATCCAAAATCCTAATCCAAATTTCCAATCCTGTATTCGCTCTCGTTTGCCTTTCCTATTCTGGCGGTGAAGTCTCCGACAACAAATTTATGAAATACCTTATGATTGCGGATAACTTCCTCCAACTGATAATAGAACGCATTTAATTCGTTCTCATCAGCTGCGTCAGTCGGTGAGTAGCAGTTAATGATAGTAATCATCTTGTGACGCGACAGCTGAAGAAGGAGGATGGCTATGCGAGGGAAAAGGATCACGTATGAGTCGACGAGGTGGACAATGGACGGGTGGATGACAAAGCCTACGCCGCCGACATTTCGTGACGGGACCTTTTCTCCACGGATCACAAGGATCCTGTTGTTTAGTTAGCGTATGTCGGTCTTCTTGATTTCTCTTTCTTGTAGTGCGATCACATGAAATTTAATGCCATTTGCGGCTACAAGAAGGGCGTGAAGAACGGCATCTGTGGAGACTGTTCTGGCATTATACATGCATGGTAAGAAACAATCTCCATGACGTGTCGTGCGTGTGTTCGTCAGATCCGGTTCCAATGACGTCCTGCGTAACCCGAGATTTTCTGGCCTCTCATCGATCGTCTCACCGTCTGACGTCATAGACGGGAGCACCCAGTGTGCGGGGTACTGAGCCTGGCCTATTGCTGGTCGTGCAACTTGATCCTCCCTGGAGTCCTGACGTAACCTTGCAGGGGCGTATCCAGGTCTTCACCACGATGTGGATCAGAGGAGGCTGTGTTTCCGGCGACGAATCTTTCGCTCGGTCTTCCTACTAGTTGATTCGGAGGGATGTTAAAACCGAAATCAGAAACGAAAGTAGGAATGAAAAACTAACCGACCGCCCAAGGACGATGTAGAGGCTCACAAGCATAATTAAATATTTAAAAATGTCTGATTACCTTGGTTTTGGAAAGTGTGGTAAAGAAAACATTCCTATAGAATAAGAAAGATAAAGCTCTCGGCGTTGATCAATCCCTGAGAGATGCGCCATGCTTGGAGGTGATTGAATACAGATCTGGCCTTTAGAGTAACTCGCGGTGGCCTACCAATGTATCGAGCCTGTGCTGCTATCTTCCCAGACAAGTCTGGTGCCAATTTACCCACCCCGGAGGGATGGAAGGCTTGGTGAGCCACCGGAGTGAGGATCGATCCCATGTGTGTATTGCAGGACGACTCCAATCAATGCGCCACACGCGCTGCTTTTTCTCAAAACGTTTACATACTGAAGGCAAACGTTGGTATTTTTAATGAACAAAAGAAATACAAATGTTTGAGTGTTTTAACTTAATCAACAGTACTCGAATAATGATTTCATCGTGACTGATAGAAACTTTACCTCATAAGGAAGTCGGAATATGTTAGCTGAACTATTCTCCAGTCAAATACTCGTCATCCAAGTATCGAATTCCGGATTCGAATACCGATTTCTATATTCGAATAAAGTGTCGGCATGTCTTTTTCTAAACCACTGTTTTAAAAGAACAAATACAACATCCCTACCAGATTATTTGGTAAATAACATTATCTGACCCATTTTTGACATCGACATCGAGTTTTTTCGGGCTGTTTTCACTGTTTGGTATTTTTCCTTTGTCAGTTATTTCATACCGCTCATTTGAGTTTATCACCACTTTTTGGATCAAAATTAGTTTTGTTGTCCTGCACTGTTTATAGTTGGATGAGTTCTTCGTCTCTTTTTCCCTATCTTCTCCTGTGTCTTTTTGCTTCTTTCTTACTTTCTCTTTTTTTCTCTTCCAATTTTGACACTTCCTTTCACTTTCTTTTTTTTTCATTTTTTTACTGTTGGCATTTTGTGACACTTTATAACGACTCTAATATGTCTCATAGTTGAAGATTTGTTTTTCATACTGCAGAAGCCAAAGCTATAACGATTTAGGAATTCTTGGCTTCCTTCTTAAGCATTCCGAGAAGTAGATTGAAGACATAAATAATACTGTAATCGCTGTAATCTTTTATGAAGACAGCTCTCGTCTTTGACACACGTCATATTCAGGTTGTTTTAAATATGGTTCATTTATAAATTGTTTTTCACTGGCGTTACTCTTTTGTCCATCAATCATCAGCTAACTAATTGTATCGTGCATCAACAGAGATTTCGTTAGTTCCGATCGTATGCCAAAGTTAGTCACTTGGATCCGCTCATCCAAAGGACACAAAGAGCATCACCACCTCAATGTAAACTACTTTTTGAAAATTGTTTCTGGCGATAAGGCAACCACAGACAGCTCATGGGGCTCTATCGTGCTATAGTTTACTCTTGGCTGAGTCTCCGTACGGAAATACCAAATTTGAACTTAGATAACTTTATCGGCAGTACGAACCCAAATGTACATGGAAACTTTGATCACCAGGAAGTAGAGCAGCCACGATGAAGCGGGAATCCATTGAAGGGGAAAAAGGGGGTTATGGATGAAGTCCACAAAAATTAACATTGCATTGAGACTCCGTACTTTCCCTCATCCATTAAAACGATCAAAAATCACTTCGCTAGTATTCATTTTTACGCATAGCACTAAAATCGGTTTCGGGATGCCCGTACGTGAGGAAGATTTTTCTAATTATTGAGCCTCCCGTCTAGTCACGCTGGATGAATACTCTCTTCGGCGACTCTATGCAATTATTGGGACTAAAGTCTCCAGGGAGATCCATCGGCCATCACGTTCACAATTTTCTTTTTGCTTGCATTTTAAGCTTGGAAAACTATTGAGTGACTGCCTAACACAGGTCAAATTACGGGACAGGTCAAATTGACATCAATCTACCTGGCCAAACACCTCCATAACCAAGCAGAGAAAACACTAAACCAAGATTTCAATCACATTGAACACAGAATAACTTCATCGCATACTCACCGCTTTCTATGAGTCTTCCACTGAATATATCACGTGGGGACCAACCACACGGTGTTTACATGGAAGCGTAATGTGCCTCTAACATCAAAGCAACAGTCTTAAATACTGCCAAATATCACGCGTGATTATGAGGTATTCCTCTCTGCGGTTCATTTTCGGATTTTTGGAATTAATCCAGAACACCTCGATAATTTTGCGCGCTTGTGTTCTCATTCCTGTGCGAGGATCGTGACATGTACTTCAAAGTCCTCCCCGTTATTTCTCTGGGTCCTATGCGTGCCTAGTGGGGTATTTGGTTTACGTTTACCGGCTAGGTGTTCTTTTATACGAAGCAGAGTAGCCTAGCCGTTTCGCCAATGTATTCGTCTCTGCACATTTTACAAGAGATCAGATAAACTGAAGCCGAACTCATGCAATCACCGTCTCTTACAGTTAGTTCGTTTGAGATGAAGGGCAGGATGAACGGGACATTAATATCGCTAGAGTTATCATTTGGGGGCTTGGCCTTACCTCTATACCTGTACCGAGGAGCTACAGTTTCGTAGCTATTTGAAATGGCCACTTGGGCGCTCGAGC